CACATCATTCTAGGACAAATTCAGTACGCTGTACCAAAATTCGTGCAAATCGAAATATATATAGGGACTTTGGTACACCATTTACATTAAATCCGACGAAAATATATGTGGGAGCTATATCTGAATGTGGACCGATTTTCAGGAAACTTAACACACATCCGTCTAGACCTAATTTATTACGCTATGCCAAATTTCGTGCAAATCGAAAGATATATAGGGACTTTGGTGCACCATTTACCTAAAATCGGACGAAAATATATATGGGAGCTATATATAAATCTAAACCGATTTTCAGGAAACTTGACACACATCAGTCTAGACCTAATTCATTACGCTGTGCCAAATTTCGTGCAAATCAAAAAATATATAGGGACTTTGGTACACCATTTACCTAAAATCGGACGAAAATATATATGGGATCTATATCTAAATTTGGACCGATTTTTCCCAATTTCAATAGGGTTCGTCCTTGGGCCAAATAAATGACTTATGCCAAATTTCATCCAATTCGGATCATCCAATTTGTTTACAAATTAATATGGACAGACGGATGGACGGACGGACGGACAGACGGACATGCGTAAATCGACTCAGAAAGTGATTCTATGCATATTCTCAAAAGGAACCATGTGTCTATCTTGTTTCCTTTTGCCTGTTACAAACATATGCAGAAAATCATAATACCCTGTACCACAGTGTGGTGAAGGGTATAAAAAAATCACCCGAAACAAAGACCAGCCAAAACCAGAAACGAAAGTTGTTTGCGGAAGAAGCACTACATATCAAATGGCTCCCAGCTTTTTCGGTAATACTAGTAATGTGGCTGCTGATCCGGGTAATCAAAGTAGAACGGTCACTGATACGCAAAAATTTAATTGACTGAAGTTTTCGGTGAAAACCGAAAAATGACCAAGAGAATACGAATCATTGTGCGTCATAAGATTACGTCGGTCTAAAACCATCGCCTTTTTGACTATCAAAACTCGTAATAAGTCATACGTCATATAGTTGTGATTTGGCGCCCAATTAGTTATTTTTCCCCGTCTATCATCGTTATAGAGAATACATCAGTCGATAAACTATAGTTAATCAATAAATAGAATAACAATAATACCTTCTATATCCTATAGAGGAGCCACATTTTATCAGCGTAGCTAAAGGGTTTATAGACTTTATGCAAGAGTTATATGACTTCTAGAACTTTCTCAAAGCTATATACCAACGAAATATATGTTGTTTCTCATTTATAGAACATAGAGGAGCAAAAAAAATGTTTGCCGACAATTTTCCATTTAAGTCCAGGTTTCGATATATTCCCCAATGTGCAGGATGGACCTCATTGTAGATATTGGAAGGTCCTAGGCTCATTTTTCGAGTTTATAATACCGCGTTTTTGGTGGATATGTAATTAAAACAAAATGACACCCTGCCATTTTTATCGTGTTTTGACATATGCTCCATACAAAGATTCCGCTTCAGTTTAGGTATATGAGGCACGGTCGAACTTAACAACGTTCATGGTTGGTAAGGTCGTTTAGTGTCTGTAAAAGTCCTAGGGTTCATTAACTGTTCTTAGAAGATATAGAGGTTTTCTAATTTCGTTTTGTTTTCGTTTTTTTTTTTAAATACCATAATGCTGATAGGTTAGTGTAATAAAATGCCGCCACATATTGTAAAACTAGTACACCATACAAAACACTGAAACAAAAAAAAAAAACTTAAAACAACAAAAACAAAGTTTTGTGTGTTTTCGTTATAAATATATTGCGAACGTGTGTAACCATTGTAAAATTATATACTAATTTTGAAATATTAAATGGGGTGAGGAAACATATAATATTTTTAATTTTTTGCTTGGAACTTAGTAGTTGTACACCCGATGTAATTTAAAATTTTTTTTTTTAATTTTTTTGCAAATCATCATCTCAATAATACTAATTTATTATTTTTTAATGTATCAGCACAAATAGCTTTAATATAAAGTTAATTTCTTGATATCGACACCATTTTGAGTCACGCATGTTAGAACATTCGAACATTCATCCACCCATTGGCAAGAACAAAAATCCAATAGCAAAAAAATTCCATTGTGCTACTTTACGGTTTACCCACATTAATGTAGACATGTGTGCGCATTGGTTATGTCAGAAAAAAAATACGAAACAACAACAAAAACACATTCAGTCTAGACTAGATAGCAGACATTAAAAAAAAATTACACAAACAAATTTTACCCCGATAGTCAGACCACAAAAAAATCACAAAACAGAAACTAAATTAAAGCAAAGCCAAGCGAACACAAAAATTCTATCAGACAAACAAAAAATCCGGCAAGCAAGTGTGAAAACCTCAACAATAACCCGCCTCAGTTTTAAGCTACTTAACCCGTCATCTAGTGAACATGTCTTATATGTCTTATATTGACTAAATAGGTGTGTATGGAGTATATTAGTATTATGCTTCCAAATAGTAAAAAAAAATAACGAAAACTTTCAAATCATCATCATCGAAGTAGGTGGCGATGGCGACGGCGACAATTCTCTTAGTCAACAATCGATTGACACTCGCTTTTATTTTTTTGTTTTTCTTTCTGTGATAATTTCTGTTGCTACTTGGGAACAAAGTCCGCCATTAGATAGCAAACCATAGAGATTGTGTATTACTGTATATTATTTGTTGTTTTATTTGTGCTAGTTGTTATCAGCACAGCAAAATGAAAGAGAACAGCCACAAAACTATGTACATACTTATGTTTGTCTGGCAACTTTGTTTTGTGGGTGTTATAAGAGACGTCGTCTATTTAAGCTCTGCTAACTCTTTCGAAATTATACCAACAACAGCAAAAACGCACCAGACAAGGTTGTCTTCATCTTCGACGACGTTATCGTTTTCGAAAATTCTTGTCGTGGTATTTGTTTTCGAAACTAGACATATATATTTTCTATGTGTAATGCAAAAATTGTTTATGTTTGTCATGCTAGCTCTCTGTTTGTATTTCCTCACTCATAGTACATTTGAACTTCCATAAAAATCAACACATGAAAAAGATTTTTTAAATAAGTCTTTGCTTAGATAATGAGATGAAATAACAGGTGGTGCGAAGTTCCAAGGGTCAATTTACAAAAAAAAAAAAAAAAAAAAAACACAGTAAGGAAAGGACTGGGCCGACTATATGATACCCTTCACCATATTGGGTATATTCAACAAATGAATCCTAACAGACGTTGCACTTTTAAAGGACCAGTAAAATGAAATTGGATTGGATACGTCATTCTGCAAGCAATACTAATTTTCTCATTTGGTTAGATATAGAATATCTAATTCATATCTAAATCCGAACCGATTTTCAGGAAACTTACCACACATCATTCTAGATGTAATTCATTACGCTGTGCCAAATTTCGTGCAAATCGAAGCATATATAGGACACAATTTACCATAAATCGGACGAATATATATATGGAAGCTATATCTAAATCTGAACCGATTTTCAGGAAACTTAAAACACATTATTCTAGACTTAATTCATTATGCTGTGCCAAATTTCGTGCAAATCGAAAGATATATAGGGACTTTGGGGCACCATTTTCATTAAATCGGACGAAAATATATATAGGAGCTATATGTAAATCTGAACCGATTTTCAAGAAATTTAACACACATCATTCTAGATCTAAATCATTACGCTGTGCCAAATTTCATGCAAATCGAAAGATATATAGGGTCTTTGGTGCACCAATTACCTAAAATCGGGCGAAGCTATATATGGGAGCTATATCTAAATCTGAACCGATTTTCAGGAAACTTAACACACATCATTCTAGACCTAATTCATTACGATGTGAAAAATTTCGTGCAAATCGGGTGCACCATTTACATTAAATCGGACGAAAATATATATGCGAGCTATATCTAAATCTGAAACGATTTTCAGGAAACTTAACTTACTTCATTCTAGACCTAATTTATTACGCTGCGCCAAATTTCGTGCAAATCGGGAGATATATAGGGTCTTTGGTGCACCATTTACATTAAATCGGACGAATATATATATGGGAGCTATATATAAATCTGGACCGATTTTCAAGAAACTTAACACACATCATTCTAGACTTAATTCCGTAGGCTATACCAAATTTCGTGCAAATCGAAGGATATATAGGGACCGTTTACATTAAATCGGACGAAAATATATATGGGAGCTATATCTAAATCTGAACCGTTTTTTCCCAACTTCAATAGGGTTCGTCCTTGGGCCAAATAAGTGACCTGTGCCAAATTTCATCCAATTCGGATCATAAATGCGATATGTACTTTGTTTACAATTTAACATGGACAGACAGACGGACGGACATGCATAAATCGACTCAGAAAGTGATTCTATGCATATTCTCAAAAGGAACCATGTGTCTATCTCGTTTCCTTTTGCCTGTTACAAACATTAACATAATACATAATACCCTGTACCACAGTGTGGTGAAAAGTATAAAAATAGGGCGATTATTTTAACATAGAGCAATTTATAGCCATATCGCCTGGATAATAAGACTAGGTATGTAATCGTAAATATAAATCGATTATGACTGACTGACTTTCTATCGGAAACAGATTTCCGTTTAATTATTAAAATCTTCATTTTGTTTACATAATTCCCAATAGTCGTATCTTATCTAAACAAGACCTTGAAATTAAATTAAAACTTCATTTTTTATTTAACACAGAAAAAAAAATAATAATTAAATATTCTATTTTATTATCTTTCTAGGACTACTTAATAAAGACTATGATGCAGCTGTGAATTATTTCTAACAGCAGGACCACCACCAATAATACAAAGAATCTAAACGTGGTAGTTCGCCAACTTCAGGAATATCATATTTGGATGTTTCTTTATGTTTTCAAAAATCATCCGTATGCCGTTTGGGAAAATATAGTTTCAGCGGGCAAGCAGTGAAAAACAATAACAGTAACGAAGGATATCCATAGAACATAATAGTGCTCTGGCGTTAAATTATCAACCAGAGCCGGATAATTCTTACATCATTATAAATACTGAGCCGGAACATTCTGTATCCGTAAGTGTCAAAGATTTTTTTATGTCTTTTTTTAAATTTTGATGTTAAATGTTAAAATCGGTTCATATATATGGGAGCTATATGTACCATATATATTTTCGTACAACTTCCTGTTGTAGCATATAATCAAAATCTTTAAAGAGGTACATTGGTAACCATGTTAACCCTAGTAGCACCTCTTGAGTTTAACCAAAGTGATGAAGGTCCTCTTAAAAAAAAATGAAGAATGTACACTTTTAACCTTTTTCCTAGATATATTTTTTCCAAATGTTTATTTAATTTCATTTAAGAAAATTTACTCAACAATTTCTTGTAGCAGATTTTCTTTGTTAAAATTCCACAACGACAACAACAACAAAATATACAAAATCTTCCCTCTCTCAGGCATTTAGAATATGAAACAAACAATAACAATAAAAAAAATACCTAGCCAGACATGAAAACACCAAAGGGTCCCTAAAAATAACAACAACAACAACTAAAAAAGTCGGTATGATTTTGTAAAAGAAGAGGAGACAAAACAAAAAGCAATAGAATGTATATGTATATGTACATCAATGACGCAGCTAAATGTATTCAAAATGAGTGTGTGTGTGTGTGTGGCGTAGAGATGGGTGTAAATGCTGAAAGGCAATGAAGGACATCCTCATCAAGCTGCCGCTGCTGCTGCGACTACTCATGATGATCTCCTTGATGGTGACGAAACGTTTCCCAGTTGAAGGAAGGAAAACGTAAACTTACACGTGCCAGACAATGAACAACAACTACAACAAAAAATACGCTGTTTATGTCTTCATCTTGAGACTAAAGTCAACTCAATCATCACCACACAGCAGAGAGTAGGTTCCACCATTATGGGAGGGACAATTCGTTTGCCTTGCTACATTGTTTGTTGGTGTGAGCATTTTTATTCCATCTGTCTGGTATTTTGTGCTTTGCACATTTGCGATGCTGCTGGTTGTATGGTTTGTGTATATGTATGTGGGAGCGTATTGAAATTGTAGTTGGAGTATAGGGAACGAAAGTCCTTGAAGCTAAACATAGGCAGACTCTTAAATTGCTTTTATTGACTTTAAGCGGTGATGGAAAGGGGTCGCCTACAATGTAGAATAAATGAGTGCGATGTTTTTTTCTGTTTGTGTTCGCATTTCTTTGTCCTTGTCGTGTTTGTAGGCTGTTTGTGTGGGTGTCTCTGTCTGTGTGTGCGTGCGTGTGTATGTATTTATGTGTCTGCTGCCATAGTCAGCTAAATACTCCTGTCTACTTTTAGGCTCCTGTTTGTGAATTATGTAATATTTATTCTCATACAGAAAACAGCCCACGTACATGAAAGGGCACGCATACACACTTACACACAGCCAGGCAGGCAGGCTGGCATACCTAAATAGGAAACTTTGTTAAAATACTCTTACCCCCATAAGTCGCAAAGGCAAAAACATTTTCATATACCCCTGTATTTATGTTGAAATATTTTTGAAATACTTACAAAAAAGAAAAAAATGGCGTTGCCAGGAAATTGCAACGGCATTTACACGCGAGACAAATATTCTCGGAAATCTGTACAATAATGTTGATGATTTTCAATTATTTAATATCGAATTAAACTAGACTTTAATATTATTTTTAACAAATAGAATAGGGGAAATTAAATTTGTGGTGAAATATTTATTATCATATATTTTATTCCAAAACATAATAAAACAAGCAAAAAATGCGTGCGAAATTTAATGAACGTTGGGACCCTCACATGAGGGCTATGTCAAAACAGAGATCAAGACATTTTTCAACTTCTAATTTTCCTGTTCATAATTTTGTACTGCGTTTCTCACGGAGGCAAAGGAAGAAAGAAAGAACCAAGTTCGAAATCGAAAAGTTGGCAAGGGACATGGGACCATTATATGGGGGTCATGTTAAAAACCAGTAAGGAAAGTAGTAAAGTCGGATGGGGCCGACTATATGATACCCTTCACCACTATGGGTATATTAAACAGGACTATGAAATGAAATAAAATATGTGGTATTTATCTAAATGTGAATCTACCTAGATCTATCCATAAAGTATGTAAATCGACTTCAAACAAATATAAATAGGTCATCCGTTGGGCTATGTCTGTACTTCTAGAAAACGCAACTATATAATTTTATGCTCAATTTTGTACGATGTGCAAACTTTTATGTCAATCTGGCTAACATGAGGAGTTTGATGCCAAATTTACTTGAAATCGGGCGAAAATATATATGGTACGTCAAATACTTAAAATCAATCTATAATAAAAAGGTCTGAATCTATCTAAACCTGGACCGATATTCACGAAACTTGGCAGACATCATTCTAGACCTAAATTATTAGGCTGCACCAAATTTCGTGCAAATCGAAAGATATATAGGGACTTTGGGGCACCATTTACATGAAATCGGACGAAACTATATATGGGAGATATATCTAAATCAGGACCGATTTTCATAAAACTTGGCAGACATCATTCTAGGCTCAATTAAGTACGTTATGCCAAATTTCGTGCAAATCGAAGGATATATAGGGACTTTGGTGGACCATTTACATGTAATCGGACGAAACTATATATGGGAGCTATATCTAAACCTGGTCCGATTTTCTCGAAAGTTGACAGACATCATTCTAGGCTCAATAGTACGTTAGTTATGCCAAATTTCGTGCAAATCGAAAGATATGTAGGGACTTTGGGGCACTATTTACATGAAATCGGACGAAACTATATATGGGAGCTATATCTAAATCTGGACCGATTTTCTCGAAACTTGGCAGACATCACTCTAGGCTTAATTCAGTACGTTATGCCAAATTTCGTGCAAATCGAAAGATATATAGGGACTTTGGTGTACCATTTACATGAAATCGGACGAAACTATATATGGGAGCTATATCTAAATCTGGACCGATTTTCTCGAAAGTTGGCAGGCATCATTTTAGACCTAAATGATTAGGCTGTACCAAATTTCGGGCAATTCGAAAGATATATAGGGACCGTTTACATTAAATAGGTTAAATATATATATATGGGAGCTATATCTAAATCTGAACCGGTTTTTCCCAATTTCAATATGGTTCTTCCTTAGGCCGAATAAGTGACCTATGCCAAATGCACAAAGACATAATACCCTGTACCACAGTGTGGTGAAGGGTATAAAAAAAGACATGGACCAATCTTGCAAATCTTGAAAATAGAATGGCTCCAACGTTTAGGTCATATGGATATGCCAAAATGTATATACATATGTCGTCCTTATTTGTGCTTCCAATAATAATATTATATTTGTTACTAAATATGTTAATGTTAAAGAATTTATTTTCAGCCAATGTTGTAGACTCATGATTTTTTGTTTTTTTTTGTCAATAGCGAAATTTGTTGCATAGCATTTTCTAATGTCCCCCATAAACGACACTGGCAATTAAAAATACGATATATACATATGCATATATATATATATATATATATATGCAACACATATATACGACAGCGTGCTGAAGCAATACCCACATGAGAATTTGAATGGGAAGAGGTGTCCTTGTACGTATTCCCGTATAATTTTCAACAAAATTTTGAAACGATATTCCCCACCTTCGAACATAATATATATTTTTTGGAAAAAAAATTACGATGGGCATATTATTTTGATAATGGGGTCTGCGGTGAAAACTTCAACTCCTGAAAATATAATAAAAATCTGCGATTTAGTTAATTTAAAAAATATAAAAAAACATTTACAATTCCTCTGTTTTATGTTGCTTTCTGACATTCCAGCATGCCAGAGAGCTGACACCCCTTTCAGTGCAACATCTGCTTACCGGTGTTGTTTGGTTGTTTGTTGTTGTTATTTTTGTTGTTTTTACCACATTCATTTGCCTTGGCATAAAGCCAAAATAATATTCTATTTTTTGTTTAGTCAATAACAATTCGCACGAGATTTTTGTCCTAAAAATAAATCGTGGACCAAGCAACATCGCCAACAATAACAACAACAACAACGTTAACAGCAATAAATGTCTGCTAAAATAAAAACAATGCAATAGCGATTCGGTTGGTCGCTGTATGCAGCAACCCAACACAATTCACTATAGACTCTTGTCAGACGTAACGTCTCGACAGATTTATATATTTTACGTTTTCATTCTGTCTGTCTGTCTGTCTGTCTGTGTGTCTGACTGTCCGTGTGGTTTTGTATTATTTTTGTATTTTGTTCGTAACGACCGCATGCCAGTTGTGTTATTGGCTAAGTGCGCGCCAAGTGAAATATTTAAATTTCACCGAAATGAGAACGTGAAAATCTAGAGATCTTGTTTTGAATGTAATTCTTACTATGTATGTATGACCGTTTGTCCGACCAACTAACTGAACGACCATGTGGCAACATAGCCCCAACAAACAAAAAAATACCATAACGAAATAATCGGCTAGAAGTAAATAGAAGATATTTTTACGTTTGTACATTTTCGTGGTTCGTGGGGTTGTTGTAATGGAAAAATGTCCCCAAGTGTCTAGAATTTATGATTCTTTGGTATTCGTTGTTTTTATTGTTTTTGTTGTCTTTTTTTAGCAAAACTAAGAATTTCAGTTGTGGTTCTTAGTTAAAGGAAATATATTAATTTTTTTAGTAAGGTCTCTGAAAATATATTTTGCATATCCCTGCTTTAAAAGGGCCTAAAAAATAATTTAAAAAATCCTTGTTTGTTTGGATCCTGCAAAAATACATCTTTATGGAATCAAATTTTGTTTTGAAACCCTCTAAACATAATTTTGAAAAAATGAACTTTTATATTCAGCACTACTAAAATAATTATTAAAAACCCACTCTTAAAATGTTTACATAAAATATCCTAGCAAATATAAAGATCCTCTTAATAAGGAGTATTCCTAATTTATTTAATTTTTTATTTTTTTTTTCTATTTTTTTCAATATGTTTTTGTTTATAAAACAAACTATAATTAACATCTCATCTATATTTCTATATTTATATTTACAGATGCTATCGGTACAGACAGCCGGCTGTGCGGGAATGGAGCGGCTCGGCGTTCCGACCCGCACCACATTGAATAACCCACCAGACGATAGGTAAACAAATCATACACTTTCCTTACATTCATAATAAACATCTAATAATAGTTTCTATCTTGTTTAGGGGTCAATTTATTTGTAGAATGCACATAGATGCTGCCAGAGATCTGTTGGGTGTACGTAATAGTGATCCGGTGATTTGTGGCAGCAATACTAATAGCCGCCAGCCGCAAACTCACCAACAACAACAACAGCAGCAACAAAATAATCATAATCAACATTACAATAGCAGTGACCAGGCCCACCTCCAGCAGCAGCAGCACCAAAACCACCATCACAAACAACATCACCATCATCAACTTCTTGTTAGACATCGCACAGTGGGTCCAACAACACAAAGTCCAAAATCAGCATCACATCCTACCTCAGCCAGTGTTAATAGTGGCAACAATAGTATTAGCAACAACAACCTTACCAGCAACAATAGTAACAATTACAACAACAATTTATCGCCAATGACCAATAACACGGATGGTAACAGTGGCCTTAGCAAAGGAGCCATTCCAATTGTTTCCAGTGGCGGTAATACCGCCGGTCACACCAATGCCGCCGCTACCCCAAACCACAGTGCCAAGCTAAAGAAAATGTGTTGTGTGGGTGGTAATAGCAGTGATGGTGGCAGTACACTCTCAGCCTGTTGCAGTTCCATCGACTCACAGTGTTCCTTAAGTTCGCACAGTCATGATCATCATCAACACTATCAGCACCAGCTGCAGCAGCAGAGAACGCTGTGCTGTCCCCATCATGTTCCTTTGCCGGATAGCGAATGGATACCCACGGATCAGCGATTGGGGCAAATGCGTAGCAGTTATCAGGTAAGCGCTTATAAAATATTCCATATTTCGACATGATTTTGATTTGTTATTATTTCTGCTCTCCTCCATAGCACTCGGAACTAACACGCTCCTATATTAAACCACCACCCAATAAAACGGTTAAAGATGTTCCAGATCGTTCGTCGTACAACTTTTATTCCTCGGTAGCGCACTGTTCGAACTCCTCAGGTTTGCATTCCTTGACCTCATCCCAATCGTTGCCTCTTGGCAGTTCCACGGCGAGTATGGCCAGCAGTGGCAGTACCACCTCCAGCAGCAGCAGCAGTAGTGGTGGGGGTGGCGCTGTGCCGCAAACAAAATCAAAACCAAATGTGATTACAAAATTCTTCTATCGTAAGAGCTCACCGAAATCTCCCAGTAATGTGGCCACTTCCTCAACAGCTTCCCTGGCGTCGACAACGGGTTTTCCAACAAATACTATGTATTCATTACTGAACTCCTCCTCATCTTCTTCGTCGTCGGCAATGTCGTTGGGCTCTTCAAACTCTTCGCTATTGTCGTCGGTCAGTGGCAATACTTCGTCCACGATGTCTCTGAATTCCCAGACATCGGCCACAACACCTGCTTCGGCCCTGAAAATGGCCCCCTTGGCAACATTGCCCGTCTCAACGGCAGCCACCCTAAAAACAACACCCTGTGATTATGGTCCTACAATGCAACACAACTCAGGAACTACTGGCGTTAATAATATTTCCATAGGTCTGGTGCCTAGTACCCAATTACTGACCACCATTGGAGTATCACATCCCACAGCAACAATAACAACATTCCCACACACCAATGCCATGGAGCGTATACCCACACCACCCCTGTCGGTGACAGTGCCCATTAGCAATGCCTACCACCACCAACAGCAGCAGCAGCACCAACAACAACAAAGGCATCAACAACAACAGTTATTACTTGACTGTTTGGTGGGTGATTCCGTTTCCGTTTCCAGTACATTACAAACCATCAAAAGTAGTTCTTGTAGTCCAACTATAAGTGCCAACGCCTTCAACTCTAATTCCGATAGCAATGTCACTTCCAAAGATGACTCTGTCCAAATGGAATGTCAATCCGGCAATATAACACGCAACAACAGTAGCAGTAGCATGCAAAGTTTATCCTCAGCAGCGGTGACGGCAACACCGGTCGACTGCAATTGTCAACATCCCAATTGTAAATATTGTAGAAGCACCTGCAATACGACCTCTGCAGAGACTGCCTCCCAATCGACGTCATCAAACGCGTAGTAGAAGATAATTTAATAGCGCAGTTAAGCGAAAACAAGATTAAGCAAAGATATGTAACAGAACTTTAAAGGCAATATTAATGTTGGAAAAGTTGGGTCATTTGGAAAAGCAAAAACTTGTCAAGATATTTTTCGCTATGAGAATTATTTCGATATGAAAACACAATTGCAAATAGTAATTAAAATATGGCGTCCAACAAGGATCCATGAAATTGTGCACATTTAGGTAGTGGATTTTTTAAGGGTAACGTTATTTTTACAATGATGTTCCATTCTATTTATGATTTTTTAATTTGCAAATAGATTTTATAATAAAATCTAAATAATGTGGCGCCCAATTGCATTCATTCAGGCGTAAACGTGTAAATTGCTGACAATGTTATGAGTTTGATGATGATGATGATGAGTTTGGCAATGATATGAGTTGATGGAAATTAGCATAACGTCAGCATTTGAATAAAATAGGGTTATTATATACATGTGGGGTATCATAAATGTCCTTTGGAGCACATCAAGTTTTCTGTGAAGGTCTTAGCCTTTAAGCTACGGTCTTAGCCTTTAAGCTACTGTCGGCCGATTAAACCGCATTTTCACAGTTTCATAATATACAATACTTTGAGTTCATTGGTGATCGTTTGTCACGATACCCTAAATATGGTTGCCTTGCGAAAACTGCTCGCACGAAATGTTAATGTTAACAACATTTCAAACTTTCCAATGGCGCCAGAAATAAACATTAAAGATCTTTTAAATCATTTCTGAAAAAGTCTTCCCATGTGGTCCAAAATGAAATCCGTTTTAGCTTGGATAATCCGTTTTAGCTTGGATAACCTTCGTTGTTCATGTCCTAAACAGTCTTCCAATATGGGTCCGACAATTTGGTTCGAAATGTGTTAATGAATTCTGAAACAAAAGCTGTAAATTCAAAATCTCCTGTGGAGGAATAAAAACAAATTAACTTTCAAAATGGCGCCCAAAAGTTGTTCATCCAGGGGGGAATTTTTAAAAATGAGGGAATTTAATGCATTAGCATTCCATTTCGTAGTGTTTATCTATGTGTATTTTATATTGCCTTTAAAAATGGCGCCCAATTAAATCAGTACTGTTTTTATTAAGAATTTATAAAAAAAACAGTGAGCGGAGCAGTATAGTCGGACGGGGCCGACCATATGACTTCCTTCCACGAAAATGTAACTTTCTGTGATACTACATTCTGAGCTTGGGCAATACTTCGCGATATTTGCACCCTCTTGACGACTAGAGGTCAAAAAATATTATTATTACTAATATTCAGTACAGCCCTTATAATTAATTGTCCAGATTTAATTCACCGTGGGTTGTGTTGTAATGTTTTCGGTCCACTTCATCCCAAAATTATTATCTGATCATCACCGAAAATTATAGGCGTTGTCTTTGACCATACCTGGATCCTCATAGAAATTTTCAAAGCGATCCGCGCTTTATTTTCGCCCTCTAATGTGGTAATGGTTTACTAAATAATATATGAATACGTAAGAACCTGTAAATATTGAAGTGTAACTCCCACATCCGAGTACATACGGCAATGTAATTGGTATCAATTTAAAGGTCAACTACTCCTCTTGAACATACTATCAACTTCTCGGATCTAGGACCTTCAGGTGCAAATATATACCCCATAGAACACAATTTTTGTAATTTTTCACACAAAAGTCGGGGTCCATTTGACCCGCCAAATATTGAGCGATCTTTATTAAAACAGGCATGCTTATTCTTTGGCCCGATCCCCTTCTCCATGTAAAAAATCGCGAAGTTTGGGCCATAATTGCGGCCTCTAGAGCGACCAGAAAAACAGGCAAAAATTAAGTATTTGGTCCATTTCATACCCTAAATATTAACCGATCTTTACCAAAAATAATAGGGGTCTTCATTGACCAGAACCCATCCTACATGCAAAATTTCGTGAAGATTGGCCCATAACTGTGGCCTGTATCGTGTTTACAAATTATAATGGACAGACGGCACACATGTCTAGATCGACTCAGCTAGTCGAGATATGACGATTGGTACACCTAAAGGTGGGTCTAGGACCAATATTTCGCGGCGTTACAAACTTTGGGGCTGCACAAAGCTATAATACCCTGACAACATAGTTGTGTAGGGTATAAAAACTTTTATTGAAAAAGTTTTTAATTGACCGTACAATCAGTTACTAGGAATTCATGAAAAATTGTATAAATAATCCTAAAGTTGCAGAGAACAAGTCTTTTTGGAGATTTCTGGAAATAAATGATGTAATTACAATTCATTCTGGCCAAAGTGTTACGATTCATTCTGGCCAAAGGGTCAGAGTTTTCGCCGCATGAGCACATTTACAAGCAAAAAAAAACAGCTATTTGGTTTTCCACATTCACATAAATTCTCATCGGAAATTTCATCTATTGTCTTCTCTCACATTTAAGAGTTCACATTAAAGATCACAACGCTTTTCCAACATTAGCTCAAAGACTGTTAAGTAGATTAATGATAACTAAGAAGAAAAAAAACAGAAAACGATAAGTGTACACTAATTAATATTCTTAGAATTTAGACAATTGGATTAAACCAATAAAAAAATCAAGGAAGAAGCACTAAAACTCTAAACTATTGCAGAATATTGGCGAAAAAATGTTTAATAGAAAATCTAATGAAAATGTCCAACGTTTCGATTTTTTTCGACTATGATTTGATAGAATAAATTCTGATAGTAATATATTAAAAAAACATACAAATATAAATGTCTGTCTGTAAACATACAACTACATATATATAAATAAACCACATACACACACACACATATATATATATATATATATAAACACATATACTATACATACACACCACAACAATCATTTCCATTTGTAACTAATGTCGCTATTAACTATTTTATTTAATATTATTATAAATAAATATTAATTCAGTTAAATAACAGAAAACAAATACATTTGCATGTCGAAGTTATAAGTTCTTGTAAAAAAGGTGAAAACCCCCCTTTTTAAGTTGGTTATAAAGAAAGACATGTGTAAAAACATTTTGAAAATAATTTTGTATTGCCAGAGTTAGTTTCATTTTATTTTTGTTTTTTAGTGTAATTTTTCTCTTTTAGGCAAAATTTTCTTAAAACAAATCTAAGAACTTATTATATTAGTTACGATTTTTTTTATTTTTTACTAAATTAAAAAAAAAATAAAGTATATATTTATTTATTATAGTAAAATCCTAATGGCAATATTTGTAGTTTAAATTGATTTTTGTATTTATGTCATTATCACTATTTTTTATTTTTTTAATTTTATTTCCACAATTCAAATGGGTCCCTGGCAATACCAAAAAAATCAAAATCAAAAAGTATTTTTGTTGTAATTCTTTTTCATTTATATATTTTATAGTAAATAAAATAAATAATTTCAGATGCCAAAAACGCATTATTTAAGACAAATCACTGGTTTTTGTATTAATTATATAATTAATTAGTTTATATTTTATAAAAAAACAAACAAACCTAAAAAAACACCCATACATTTCTAAAATTATTATTCTTACTATTTTAGTTATTAATTATTAGATAATTAATAAAAGAAACAAAGACAACAATTGTTTAAAAAGCAAACACATTGATTCGTATATTTAATATATTTATCTTATTTACAAAATAAAAACGTTTTATTTTTATTTAATAAAATAATTCAATTATTATTATAAAAAAAAAACAATACAAATCACATACAATTTGTTTTTTTTTTTTTTATTTATTGGGGGCAATTTTAAGGTGTTGATAAAATATTTGAAATCTCAACTGAACCTCATTATGTCGATATCATCGGCGTAGGCGAGTAACATGTGTTGTTTGGTGTACAGAGCGCCATTTCTGTTCACTTTTGCCTTTTCCAGCAGGATGTTAAAAAGGTCACACGACAAACTATCGCCTTGTCTGAATCCTCATTCGGTATTAAAGGGCTCCGAGAGGTCCTTTCCGACTTTAACTGCTGATCTTGTGCCTGTTAAAGTTATCCTGCATAGCCGAATTAATTTAGCAAGAATCCCAAACGCAGACATGGCTTTATACACTTCTGAACGGATAGGGCTGTCGAATGCGGCTTTATAGTCGACGAATAGGTGGAATGTGTCGATGTGTTTTTCGTAAGTTTTTTTTTCCAGGATTTGGCGCAGAGTGAAAATCTGATCAATGGTGGATTTGCCAGGTCTGAATCCGCATTGGTATGGTCCAATAATGTCAATGACCATTGGCTTCAATCGTTCACACATCACACTGGATAGCACTTTATATGCGATGGGAAGGAGACTTATTCCTCCATAGTTGGCACATATCGTCTTGTCTCCTTTTTTGTGCACAGGACACAGAATGCTGAGGTTTCAATCATTGGGCATGCATTCTTCTAGTCAAATTGTACTAATCAGCTGGTGCATGCTCCTTACCAGCATCTGACCACCAGTCTTGAATAGTTCGGCTTGTAACCCATCGGCACCTGCTGCTTTATTATTCTTCTGCCGATTGATTGTTATTCTGACTTCATCTTGGCTAGGTGGTATACAGTCTACAGCGTCATCTATTATTGGTTCTGGGGTGTCCACTTCACTGCTACTATTTGATACCAGAAGTTTCTCAAAATGATCCTTGCAGATCCTCAGCACGCTGTCTGTATCTGTCACCAGGAGGATGTGCCTGCACCAAAGCCTTCGGTTTGGTGTTTTACCCGCTGGTAGAATTTTCGGACTTCAATCTGACCCCTGTACATATCGATTTGCTCACGCTCGCACTTTTCTTGCTCTTTCTTCTGAAAATACGTTTCTCCTCTCTCCTTTTCTCCCTGTAGTTCTCCATCGCATTTCGCGTTGTTACTGACCGCAGGGTTGCCATATACGCTGCGTTTTTAATATCAGTAGCATTACGACACTGCTGATGGTACCACGGATTTCTTGATGGTGGTCTTTGGTACCCAAGTGTTGCTTTTGCTGCAGTTTGTAGGGAGTGGGCAATTCTCTGCCATTGTGCTTCTATATTATTATCGGGACAAGGGGTGCTTTCGTTGGGTAAGTTGAGCGGAGTAGGCCTCGGCTATCTGTTGTGTTTGCAGCTTTTCGACGTCAAATTTCCGTGTTACATTAGATCGCACCTTTGCTGCTACATTAAGACGGGTGCGTACCTTGGCTGCCACAAGGTAATGGTCCGAATCGATATTCGCTCCCCGGATAGATCGAACGTCTAAAACACTGGATCGATTTGATTTCTCGTTGTTCGATCGGGAGAAATCCAAGTGGCCTTGTGTATATCGAGATGATTGAATCTGGTGCTGCTAACTACCATTTTTTTGCTGCCGCGAAGTCAATAAACCTCATGCCGTTGTCTGATGTTTCTTCATGGTGGGACCAAAGATATTTTCCCTTCCGATTTTCGCATTAAAATCTCCTAGCAGAATTTAAATGTCATGGCCAGGGCAACGGTCATATGCTGCTTCTAGGCGCTCGTAAAATATGTCTTTGGTCTGTTCATCTTTATCTTCGGTCGGAGCATGGGCGCAAATGAGACTGATGTATAAGAACTTCGCTTTTAAACGGATTATAGCAATTCGCTAATCTACTAAAGGTCTTTTATTCTCCTGTTAACCATAAATCCGCAGCCAAATTCATGTTTCGTTTCATGGCAGCTATAATACAGGGCGTAATCATCTGATTTACTTACACCAGTCCCTTTCAAACGCATTTCCTGTAAGGCAATAATATCGGCTTTGTACTTCTTGAGTACATTCGCCAAAGCGAACAATGCGTCTGTTCTGTACAACGTGCGCACATTCCAAGTGCAGATTCGCAGATCGTGGTCCTTTATACGTTTGCGGGGGTCATCAACATTAGGGGGGTTTGGTTTTTCTTTTCTTTGCTTTTTCATAGTGGGTTGGATTTTCCGAGAGTGGGCCACTAACCCGATGCCTCAACCCATTTTTTATAATTCTTATGGGTGAACTCGCGGCACATATTAGCTCACTATTTCATCAGTTGATCAGAGCCGTTGCTCTGCTCTATCATCCCCTACGCCACGCTCTCGCATGAATTAGTCTTTTAATTAAAAATTCGACTTATGACTCTTATAATTCTTATTCTCTGAAAGTCCGGGGAAAGTATTCTTGAATATCCTGCTTATTGCTCTGAATGTCCTTCGTAGAAAATTCTCTTCTATTTCTGGTTTATATATTCCTAAAATATAGATGTATTTTTGTTTACGTAAATGATAGAATCGTAAGTACTGGGAAAACTATTTGTGCCAGCCCTTGAAAATATATTCTGAAAACCATTCTTATATAGCTACGGCTGTCCTTGTAATTTGTTTTTCATACATAAACCAAACCTAAAGACTTTCTTCTTTCTTCTAAAAAGACAAAAAAAAAGTTCTTTAGTAGCACCATTTAAGTTCTGAACTCCTTCAAATGTTGTCAATCACATTAACCATTCCACAGTATTTTGTTTAATATTTTCTTCCATTTCTTGTGTGTATTTTATTTATTTAAAAAATTATTTTACAAAATTTCTATTTCTATCCAATAATTATTGCATTGTAAGGTGTATCTGTTATCCTTTCTCCGGGCATATCATAAATCGGTGATTTATATTTAATAGATTCCTCCCATTGTTTATATATCGGTTGCTTTGTGTGCCAGCCAACAAATGCTAAAAGAAATATAATTACAACAATTTATTAAATCTCTTTTCACTTCGGAGAAATGTATGAGTTTGATCTAACCATTAGATGTTTTTGGCAATTCCACATGTTCCAATTTGTTATCATCCACTTGCTGAAGGTTTTTAGCATCCTTCAAATATTTACTCTGTTCCTTTTGTAAGCATCTCAACAAATGCACGTCCGAATGAGGTCTACCACAGCGACAGCGTGCCAATAGTGAATTATACATGCCAGGGGAAAGAAAGTGCCCATCACCCTCTTTGGTGTATCTGTAGGGTTCCAAATCTGTAATAAAAGGTTTTCAATTTATGGACAAAATAAAAAAAAAAACTCTTTGTAAATCCATATGTTGTTCTGTACTCGAATACATTTTCAATCTCTCACCTGAAGTTTTTAATTGTTCTTTTATTTGTTGGCTTAAATTATTTGGATTGTACATGTCGTTCCATGGGGTTTCATTGTAAAATTTCAACCATTTTCTGGGATAATTACGACGAGCTTTAAACTCCATATCTATTTGTTCTTTACTAGAAAATATATATATTTTAAAAATTTACAATTTTATATATGTTTAAATTCAACACTTACACCTTGCCAACATATTTTTGAGGATCGGCTTGCATTTTGTTTAGCTTAAAATTTTTTGGTTACCTTTTACAACCTCTGCTCTATACTGGTATAAAAATTATTAATTTCTGACTTTGATGTGTTTACTATTTGGTTACCATGCAAAACATTTTCGAATGAATAGTTTCCATGGTATGTTTGGTCTATTCGTTGCCAATTGTATTTACATTCATTTAAAAATCCTTCTACATTGCAAAGCATAGACTGGTTTCCTGTAGACCAAAGTGCAAGTCGATAAGCGTGGATTTTAAAGAATCAATTTCAAAAGACTATCAGAGTCTCCAGCCTAATATTTTTATACCCTTCACCAAACTGTGGTACAGAGTATTATGTCTTTGTACATATGTTTGTAACAGGCAAAGGGAAACGAGATAAACACATGCTTCCTTTTGAGAATATGCATAGAATCATTTTTTAAGTCGATTTATGCATGTCCGTCCGTCCGTCTGTCTGTCGATGTTAAATTGTAAACAAAGTACAAAGTGCATAGGTCACTTATTTGGCCCAAGGACGAACCCTATTGAAATTGGGAAAAATCGGTTCAGATTTAGATATAGCTCCCATATATATTTTCGTCCGATTTAAGGTAAATGGTGCACAAAAGTCCCTAAATATCATTCGATTTGCACGAAATTTGGTAAAACGTACTGAATTGAGCCTAGAGTGATGTGTGCCAAGTTTCGTGAAAATCGGTCCAGATTTAGATGTAGCTCCCATATATAGTTTCGTCCGATTTCATGTAAATGTTGCACCAATGTCCCTATATATCTTTCGATTTGCACGAAATTTGGAACAGCGTACTGAATTGAACCTAGAATGATATGTGCCAAGTTTCGTGAAAATCGGTTCAGATTTAGATATAGCTCCCATATATATTTTCGTCCGATTTAAGGTAATTGGTGCACCAAAGTCCCTATATATCTTTCGATTTGCACGAAATTTGGCACAGCGTAATGAATTAGGTCTAGAATGATGTGTGTTAAGTTTCCTGAAAATCGGTTCAGATTTAGATATAGCTCCCATATATATTTTCGTCCGATTTAATGTAAATGGTCCACTAATGTCCCTATATATCTTTCGATTTACACGAAATTTGGCACAGCGTAATTAATTGGGCCTAGAATGATGTGCTCGATTTCATACAAATGGTACACCAAGGAACCCAAGTCCGTTCGATTAAGATGCAATTTTTCAAGGACTACAGAATTGTATGTTTATATGTTGTTTTACATTTAGTCCACACATTTAATTTCGTAATTTCTTCAGGATATTGTACATATGAGAATATCTTGTATTTACCCCAAGTGGTGAAGAATATCATATAGTCGGACTTTACTACATTCCTTACTGGTTTTATTTAAAAAATGATATTCAAAAAGGAGTACTCAGCAAGAGTGGAGTCTGCTCGATTTCGAGCGTATTTCACTGCCACTCTAAAACGAGCGAAGCACTTGCGCTCTTATTTGAGTGGCAGGGAAAATAGAGTATACTCGATTTATTTTTTCTACTCGCAGGAGTACTCCCGCTCGAATTCGAGCAAGTTTCACTCTTTACTCGATTTCGGAGCTCTAATTTCCGAACCATAAGCGTAGATTTTTAAAAGACTATTAGAGTGTAGATTTTTTCAAATAATATTGTTTAATAAGCGTGGATTGTTCAAAATGTTTCTGTAAACTTGGCAGAAATGGCAAAAACTTTTAATCAGCGCCATCTATTGATTTAATGATTCAAATAGCACACACCCGTTTTTCAAGCGTATAACGTCGAAAAGTATAACATTTAAATAAATGGTCGTAGCCCTACAAAACGGGTCTCATATGAAATAAATAAATCTAAAAAAATCCATGTTGCTGCCATGATGCTTTTCACTTTTCTGTTACCATGTCAAGTCCGTTAAACCACCTTGAACATGGTTGTAAAACATATATTCTGTCCTAAATAAATTCGTTTCGTGTGATTTGCATCTTTAACGTTACGCTTTCAAAAGTAATGAACAATCCCAGAAAATTCCGATTTTCTGTTAACATGGCCAAATAATCTTTAATAATCTCGAACAGTGTATGTTCTAAGTTATTAATATCCCTTGTATCATTACGCATTCAAAAGTTATATTTAAAAGTTATAAAATACCGATGGTTTTCTCTAAATTTGGCCGCACTGCAAAAATTTGTCGCCAGCGCCATCTTTCGAATGGGTAGATTCAAAAATCGATTATGCCAAATTAAAAAACTTATTTTTCCTATAACTTTTGACCTACTGTAGATCTTTAAATAGAATTGTTATCATGTGAAGGGTACAATTTAGTATTGAAATTTTCTATAATTTCCCTCGGCAATATTTGCGTTATAAGAATCGTTTGCTGGTCGTAGTAATGAAGATTACTTACACTTTCATATGACATCCATGTTTGTTCAAATGCGATTATCTGTTCAAAATGTATACGCTTGGAAGTTAAAAAAACTGATTTGCACGATTTGAATCATGCCCATTAATAGATGGCGCTGACGACGGGTTCATAAAAATTGTATACCTAATTTCTTTTTGCTATAACTTATTTTCGAATTTGCTGGTATTCAAATGAAAATGGTTTTATATGAAACTAGCATATGCCCGCAACTTCGTTAGCGAATGTAGGAAATATTTAAACATGTATTAACATATTATTTTATTTTCACAGCAAACTGCATATGTCAGAAAAAAAACAATCCACATATTATTATCGACTATAAATTACATTTGCGTACAATTTAGTACCAAATTTCATTATTCGAGCTCTAAAGGTTCGCCCAAATTCAAATTTTCATTTAGCACACATTATTTCCATAAGTACTCTCTTTAACCCTCCAACAAAACCTCATGCATACCTCGATCCTACACCACCACAATGATTCCAAATTCAAATTTCAGGATTCCAATACCATTGGTTCACCCACAATTCAAATTGTACCAAATTTAGTACACAGTAGTACCAATTTCTAAAACTTCCTACATACCCCAATCCTACACCTCCACAGTGATCCTAAATCAAAATTTCATGAATTCAACTCTACCGCTTCACCCACAATTTAAATTGTACCAAGTTTAGTACACAGTAGTACAAATTTCCAAAACCTCACTCCTACCCCAAACCTACACTCCAACAGTGATCCTAAATCCAAGTTTCAGGATTCCAACTCTATTGGTTCACCCACAATTTAATTTGTAGCAAATTTAGTACACAGTATTACGAATTTCTAAAACTCCCTACATAACCCATTCGTACACCCCACAGAGATCTTAAATCCAAGTTTTAGGATTTTAATTCTATCAGTTCACCCACAATTCAAATTGTACCAAATTTAATACACAGTAGTGCCAATTTCGAAAACTTCCTACATACCCCAATCCAACACCTCCACAATCATCCAAAATCAAAATTTCATGAATTCAACTGTACCGCTTCACCCACAATTTAAATTGTACCAAGTTTAGTACACAGTAGTACGAATTTCCAAAACTTCCTACTTAACCCAAACCAACACCTCAACAGTGATCCTAAATCTATGTTTCAGGATTCAAACTCTATCAGTTCACACACAATACAAATTGTACCAAATGTAGTAGTATTTAGTACGAATTTCTAAAATGTCCTACATATTTCAATCTTTTTCGTACACATAATAATTTGCATTCCAAATTTGAAGTTTTTACCTCAATCCATTCACATGCTACGAAATTGTACCAAATTTACTACATTTCAGTACTTTTGGATAGTTATAGTTCGAACTTCCATTAGATTTATAAAGTATGTAATATTAGATTCTGTGGGAGGTACAAGGGCAAATGGCCTGATCTGTTCCATCTTCGAAATTCATTTAAGTTAAAAATATTAGGTTGTGAAAAAATTTGGTTCAAATTACATAGTCCGTTCGCTTGATATTACAAAACTAATTATACCCTACACAACTATGTTGTCAGGGTATTATAGCTTTGTGCAGCCCCAAAAGTTTGTAACGCCGCGAAATATTAATCCTAGACCCACCTTTATGTATACCGATTGTCATATCTCGACTTACTGAGTCGATCTTGACATGTGTGTCCGTCCGTCCGTCTGTCTATTATAATTTGTAAACATGATACAGGCCACAGTTATGGATCAATCTTCACGAAATTTTGCATGTAGGATGGGTTCTGGCCAATGAAGACCCCTATTGTTTTTGGAAAAGATCGGTTAATATTTAGGGGATGAAATGGACCAAAAACTTTATTCTTGTCGGTTTTCTGGTCGCTCCAGAGGCCGCAATTATGGCCCAAACACCGCGATTTTTTGCATGGAGAAGGGGATTGGGCCAAAGAATAAGCATGCCTGTTGTGATAAAGATCGGTCAATATTTAGCGGGTCAAATGGACCCTGACTTTATGGTCAAGGACAACGCCTATAACTTTCGGTGATGATCAGATAATAATTTTGGGATGAAGTGGACCGAAAACTTAACATTTTTTTTGAGTCGATCAAAAAAAAGTAGGCCACAATTGAAAGCCCAACATCACTACAATCTGGACAAATATAGCCCTCGTCTACTGATTATTAATAATATATGTTGACCTTCAGTCAGGTTTCAAAAGGGTGGAAATAACGCAAAGTTAGATTTTCGTGGAAGCTGTGTAGGGTATTATATGGTCGGCCCCGTCCGACTATACTGCTCCGCTCACTGGTTTTCTAGTCGATCTATAGGCCATAATTATAAACCGAACATCACAACA